TTTTCCAGCAAGCGGGCCTGGCCTAGGGAGGATTTTTAAATCGGGTTCATTTTTAGAAAATTTTAAATATCACAACTTAGAATATTTGGGTTTTAATTGGTTTTATTCGGCGGGGATTGTGGGTTTGTTTTTGTTTTAAAAAATGTTGTGAGCCGCCCTGAGTCCCTCGGGAGAAGGGCGGGATACAAATTGAATAAATAAATAAAATAAATAAATAAATACAGTTCCCATAATTCTTAGCCTATATGACCATTAACTAGGTTTGTTTGGAATTCTGGGAATTCTGGTCCTAATATGCATGGGGGAGGATTCAGTTTAGTTAGGCTCCCTGAGTTCTCCAACCTGATTACTGTCACCAAAAAGGCTCCATTTAATGTTCCTATATCTCAACCAACAGTAGGAAACAAAGCAGAATTGCACAGTGTGGTTTTATACTGTGGGAAATTATTCTTATGATACTTGATACTCAAAAATGTTTTAGGGCTTAAAATTCAGTAGCAGGACTTTGAACAAAAAATGGCAGCCAGTAAAATATTGCTACTTTGCAGATGGCTCAATCAATATCCATAATGCCACATGTTGCACAACTAAAGTTGTCAAAGCCTCCTTAGATGCTGGATCATTTTACCTGTTGTAATAAAGACATGTTGCACTTGCCCCAGGAAAGGATCAGGCAGGTACACCAGATGAAACAAGGAAAAAATATTCCATTTTATAGCTTAACCTAAGTATGCATGAACAATATCTCATCTGAGGGCAGGAATAAACCAAAAATTGATTCTTTAGTAGGGGTGTGGCTCCATCTTATCTTAAACCATAGACCTAATCTATCTATGCTCCAACACAGGGGTCCCCAACCCCCAGGCCACGGACTGATACCTGTCCTAGGCCTATTAGGAACTGGTCCATACAGCTGGGGGTGAACACGGGTGAACAAGCCATCTATATTTGCAGCTGTTCCCCAGCGATAGAATCACCAGCTCAGCTCCATCTCAGAGCATCAGGCATCAGATTATCATAGGAGATCAAACCCCCCTATAAACTGCACATGCAAGAGATGTAGATTGTGCGCTTCTCCTACCCTCCCTCAGTTTGTGGAAAAATTGTCTTCCGTTAAACTGGTCCCTGATACCAAAAAGGCTGGGGACTGCTGTTCCAACAATGCTCATCATTAAAATTCATCTTTAGACTATAAACTGACATTTTCTTTCTCTTCTGATATCAGGCTTTGGGAATTACAGGTATCAGGAAGACATTGGGAATTACATTTTCTGATAGTCTTTAAGCAAATGTAAATGTTTTCTCATTTCCTGCTATATATGTTGTGTTAATGACCAAATCAATGCTATGGGCACATACTTATCCTCTAAACATTATGGATATTAATAAAAATATGAAAGACAACCCTCAAGGTGGGAATCTCAGACACATATTCAGGACTACCCGTTGAAATCAAATCTCCAAATTGAACATTCCCTCCAAATGTTATGGCACATTTTATATAACCATTACTACACAGAAAAGCAGCAGGATATGTGGGGAATAATTCTGATTTATCTATGTTATTGCATAAAATGTAATAATAACCCTAGGTTTGCCAGTAAATTCTACTAAAATCTTGTGCTACTATAAGATTTCAAGATCAATATCCTATAAAACAGTTACTGATTCAATTAAATCACTCCCATAAAGAACTAAGAGAATCAAGCATCACAACTTGCCATTGAGGTAATGATCAATAATTTTGGCCTTTTGGGCAATAGCTCCATTTTGGCATTACCTTAAATCCACTTTCCAAATGCCCATTTGTACAGTAATAGCTAAGCTAAGAATTAATTGATCAGATGCATTTACTCTGTTTCTGTAGGGATTCCAGCTTTGTATTGGTTTTACGCAGAAAAAACCTCTCCACAGGCATTGGAAGGCTCTAATGGTAAAAAAACAAACAAAACAAACAAAAAAAATGAAGAGCAACGGGAGAAAAGTTTTGCTGCAAAGTTGTCCTGTCCTCCAAGTCACTGCATTGTGAGGACACAGGACTGGAATCTTCAGGAGACTGATGGGGTCTCCCATTCACTGTTGCCATGATTTCCTGGGGCTCAATTTCTCTTGCCTAGTCAGTTATGTCTCAAAGATGTTATCTAAAAGAAGCAAAGCATGCCTTGGATGTACCCTTCCCCAATCTTTTCAGCCCACACTACTTTTTCCCAGTGTCTGCTTCACACACACACACACACACACACACACAAATCCATTTTCTTGGTATGTTCTCACTGCCCCATTCACTCCCCAATCTTCTTTTCCTGATGAGCCACCTTCAATTTTTAAAAAACAAACCGTTTTCTACAAGCCAAATAATAGCCACTGGCACAGCAACATTCATAACTAAGCTACTTTTTTTTATTAAGCAACCACAAAGGCTGGATCTACACATAACGGCAGGCCATAATAAGATTAGTAAATTGTGTTCATCCAAAAATAAACTAACCATACTGGCTAATGTACTATGCCACCAAGGCTAACCAGTTTTCTAACCATAGTTAGAAGATAGGGAGTGTGTCTCTGTACACAGATATCCCTTTCAGATCTTATCGTAACATATTGGCAGGGGTACTTAATCTTATTTACAATATTATGCTAACCATTGTTTCTGTTGCAGAGTTGTGTTCTATAAAAATGGCAAAGTTGTAGCAGACTTTAACGCATGAGAAAAAAAATATGAAGGGGCACAAATATATCGGATGCTCACTGTTCCTTAACTAAGGTTAAGGGACTGAAAATGCTAGGTCTGCATCCATCCACAATCTGCATTTACTGCTTTTGGAGTCTGGTTAAGTAGTTATGGTACAATGTATGCAATACTGATAAAATAAAAACAAGCATTTGGGCAATGGTTTTCCACTATAAATGTACTGATCCAATATTGAAAGAAAGAAAGAAAGAAAGAAAGAAAGAAAGAAAGAAAGAAAGAAAGAAAGAAAGAAAGAAAGAAAGAAAGAAAGAAAGAAAGAAAGAAAGATCTGGAATAAAGGAATATCAGATAGCACCATGGAAAGTTATGGAAGCTCTTCCACAGTTTTTGTGTCTTATTCAGTATTTAATGAACTAAAAAAAACCAGGACAATAAGATGATTTGTTCAGAAATGCTTCAGCATGACTGTTTCTGGTATTCCAACTGCATGAAACTCTTCTGGCTTGAACAAAAGGTGTGATTTGCTGTTCTGTACAGGCCATCTCAGATGGGAACCCACAAGTAAGACTAGATATCCACATTCACATCTTGGCAATGATTTGGAAGAAGCTTAGGATCTCTCTCCAAGCTACAGTGATTAAGGATAAAGAGGAAGAAGCCCCTACCAACAGTCACTTCTTCTTTTGCAAGGTCTTCCCTCACCTCCTTGATCACCACACAAAGTATCCCTTCTCTCCTCTGCTTCACTGTTTGATTCAGGGGAATCTCTCCCCCCCTTCTATTCAGAATGCAGCTGCACGTGTATCCATCATACGTGCCCCCCTTCTTTAGAAGAGCACCCCCAGTTGACCACCTAGATGTCTTTCTACATTAGTTCCTTCTCAAGCCAGAAGCAGGAGAGAGAAACAAATGAGCATCAAGGAAGCTGCTGGGGTTTCGGAGTACTTTGCTTCCACCAAATGATCCAGCTGCTCCTTGTGCAGTTTCCAAGTGATCCATCTAAGGAGAAGAGGTAGAAAGAGAAGTGCTGCTGTTGCTGCTGCTCAGGTGACAGCTTATAGTGGCAGCAGAGAAAATGGTGGCACCGTTTTCACTCCTTCCTCTTTTTCCTCCACTGCAGCTTCTACTAAGGGCCTGTGAAGCATGAAGCAAGGTGTGGGACAAGGTGGAACTCAGGGCCTCCTCTATTTGGGACTCAAACTGACTGCTTCCCCAGTTTGTTTACCACCAATCATGTTCAAATATGCCCCCTTTTTCGCTGTCTTGAGATCGCTCTTACTAAAAATCTTATTGATAGATTGCAGGATGCTTCCGAGACTGTAATTTTCTATTTCTGAGATCACACTCAGAAGCCCAGAAAAAGGCAGGCTGTTTTAATGAACCTCAGAGAGGGGTTGAGTTTGAATGAGTTCAAAACACTTTTTCCAAATCATCTTTGAAGCTTGTACATAGCGCTAGTGACCAGGCCCACAGCCCTAACAAGCTTATTTCCAGTCTGGTACCTTAAGCAAGGGAGAGAGAATGTAGATGGTGGACGGTGTTTTGGAATAGTCACAATGTCAATTATGACCTCATAACTGAGGCCATATCCCTTTTGAACAGGTATAAACATATCCACAGGGTTTCAATCATATGACTTCCCCTTTGGACACTCCTGATGTTCCCACTTCTATTCCACATTGCTTCTGTTTTCATGCAGAGGAAAAGATATTCGGTTCTCCTGCAAGCAAAAGGTTATGGGGTGTGATTTCTGAGGCAGAGAAAAACTTTCTGACCTGAATTTCAGATCATCTACAAATCCAACAGACTGACATGGGACAAGAAGTCACCAAATTTCAAAACCGAGTTTTTATTTTTTTATTTTTTTTAAAAAAATGGGCAACTCACTGGGATCCACGTATGCCCAAGTGGGATGGAGAGGGACATTCAGAGGGGGGGGAAAGGCCCCTGCTTTCATCCCTTCTGCTGAGGTTGCCTCTTCATAGGTTGGTGGTACTGCTGGGGCACTGGGGTGCTTTCGTTCAGCATTTTCCTGCTGCCCTTCAGAATTTGCAGGCTTGTTATTCACAGAGAGCTGCAAAATGGAAAGGAAAAAAATAGATTTTTTTTTGAAAAAAAATATGACCATCTTTCTTGTAAATTTTACATGGGAAGAGATGGAGAAGAGAATCAAATGCAGATGAGGTCCAGGGTTTGAGATAGGTGTGGGTGAGTTCTCCACAAACCTCCCAAGCCTGGAATAAATGCGGGGGATGGGGCGCATGAGCAGAAGCCTTTCACACTTTTTTCTGACTTCCTCTGATTTTTCCCTGCCCATTGAGAATGGTCAGTGGATTGATTGATCATATTTGCATACATCTACATCTTACATGAAGATTTACAATAATGAGCCTGTGTCTTGTCTTGGGAATGGGGTAGCCTTAATGCCCGGAATGAATTCCGCAAGAACATCCAGTGCAATGTTATACTAATTTATCTATATTGCATCAGGTGTTCCTGCAGAATTCACAATGGGCATTATTTCACAATGGGCATTAAGATTAGGTATTTGCCCTATTCTCAAGACAAGACACAGGCACATTATTAGGTGTTCAGTGATGCTCCTGCTTTCCTGGCTTAGAGTTACTCAGGCATATTGCTTCTGAAACTGTAACACTTGAGAAACATCTCCTGCATGACAAGTTCTAGGTTCTCTCTCTCCCATTGATCTCTATTTTTGTTTTATTTTGCTTAGTTATTATTTTTTTTTAAAAAAATCCTCTGGTATATTAAAAACACTTCAAATCAACTGGAGTAGTAATGAACAGAATGGTTCACTATGTACAGCAGCTACCATATGTCTGGTTCTCAAGCAATGGGCCTTCCAAGTCTGAAATGGACTTTAGTAATTTTAGCTTCAGACATTTACCATTTACCAGAAAAGAAAACAAGCCTAAATTCAAGATACCTCTAAAGGAGAAGATTAAATTGAAGTAACAACCTTGTTTTCATCTTTCAGATAATCTGGAATGACTGCACCATTTTAAAGATAGTTTATTTATTTAAAAAACGTGATTTCCTTCCAAGTAAATATATTATTTCACCTACTGCTGACCCCAAATCATCATGAACAGTTACTGACTGAAACCAAACAAACATATTCTTACTGCTACACTGTACTTCCTGGAAACAATTTTTTTCATAAGGTTGCTTGTCAATTATTTCAAGGGCCTCTTCGTTAGCCAATAGCAGCTGAATGGAGGCACGTGAATCATGAAACTTGCAATTTATTTTATTTGTTAGATAGTCTTTCTTCAAGGAGCTCCTGAAGCTTTTATTAAAGGAAGGCAGAACCTGGTAGACACGAGTCTCTAAATAATGTCCCAATTATCAGTGTCCATGGGTACTGTCTAAAATTATATTGAAATATACCACATATACTCGTGGATAAGCCCATCCTCTAGATAAGACATCTCTGGATTTTTTAAACTGAAATACCATTTGAAACACACCAGTCAGGGATAAACTGACCCTCAAAAATTTTATATTTTAATTTTCACAATTGACTTATCTGTCAGTGATGATGAATCTGCCACACTTCAAAGAAAAATGTCAGCCTCCGAGAGCTTAATTTCCCCCCCCCCCAAAAAAACCCCACCTTTCAACTATATAGACACTGTTTTAGGAAACAAAATGATGGGAAACAACAATCCAGGGCTTTCTTTGAAAGAATGTCTTCAAGCAAAGAAAATAATAAAAGAAAGGGTAGTATAGAAAGATTGTACAAGAGTAGTTGGGATAGGGGGTTACGGGTGGAGGGGTGTCTGATATTCTAGAAAATGGCAGCTTTGCATGTGTATATACAGTATTTCCAAAGGCAGCTATTTTGTGACTAAATACGCTTCCCAAGTATCTATTCTACTATTATATTAATGTAGAATACTATTGACATTTTTCATTTAATTTGTGAAAGTGTTCATATTTAAATTTCCTAGATTGCTCTTAGTATTCTATGAGAGACCTAAAAAGCTGAACAGATTGAATAAAATCCATTTTTCTGTTGCCATAAAAGTCATAAGAGTATTTTCTTCTATTCCTCCTTTCAGAAAGCCAACAGAAACCAAGAGAATGTCAGAATGTGTCTTAGTTTGGCCTGCAAAGGGGAAACAATGGCTCTCTGCATGTAATTGAATAATTCCCAGTTTAGCTAAGGATGTTGGGAGTTGCAGCTGAACAAAACCTAGGGGGAAGCACACAAATTACCTGATTCTTCAGCCAGTTCAAAAAAGATCCTTGGATAGGAAAGTCACATCCCCCCCCATATATTTATCAAAATATAGGTAGTACTCCTTGATAACTCTACTTTAAACAACTGATTCAAATTAACGATCCTATTGACCTCAATCAGACTTCAATCCTAGTTAGTCTGCCTAAAGCTGTTTGGGTTAAGTCACTATTGTCCATCACGTAGCAGCCGCATAAAGACCGAAAAAAAATAAGATTAAACAAAGCCTCCCTGTAGCCACTTGCAGCCGTGAAATGACAAATTCTGTACAGATTGTGCCAACTGAACACATTGCAGCTGAACAAGCTGAGGCAATTGGTAGATAATTCAATATCAGAAACGCAACGAGAATAGCCCAGAACTGCGTCATTGTGGTGCTGCTGAGACAGGGGTGACCTAATTCAAAGGAACAAGTTCTTGGACACACACAAATACCCTGGTGCTCACCAGGATTACAATAATCAAAATTCTCAGTCAGCAGACCTTTTGGGGATTGTAGTTCCATAACATCTGGAGGGCCTCGAGTGGCTAAAAGGAGACTTGAAAGGTCGGGATTGAGGAGAACAATGAATAGAGATTGTTGCCAAAAAGCTCTCCAATCAAAATGATCTGCTGTTCTTCGGTGAACACACTATCATTTCATACATGCCACTGAGTAGCCAGAGAATTGCAATTTGAATTCAAAATTTCAACAATCCCCAGCCACATTCTGTTGCCCAAGCCAGAGCTAATATAATTACTCTTCTGCACATTATAATGCTAAGTATACTGAATTATGGAATTGGTAAGTTCATTATTTGAATTACTTAATTTTAAAAGAAGAAAATGATATATTAAATTGAACATCTGCAAACTAATATATGTCTAGCCTGAGGATTAAAAACAATTTTAAAAGAAAAGGAAAACAAAAAATCCAGTGTGTCAGTCCAAAAATGGACGTTTGCTGCAGCTGTCTAAGTGAAGATGTAAGCATCTTCCTGAATTACAGGTTCTGGATTTAGGACCTGATGCTGGTCCTTGTGGCACCACAAGTAACAAAGCTGGACCTCCAGATAAAGGAGCGCATATCATAAACTACAACCAACAGGATTTAGATCATTGTAAAACACATCATTTACATTGTAGTTTGTCATCCAAGAGTCCTGAAACCTATCAAGGGCTAAAATTCAACAGACATTCAATTAGATGCTATGGCTAAGTTGCCACGGCAACAGATTTCTCAGCATTGGGGAGAAACCAAAGCAAGCATGGAGAAACTGCCTGTCTTATGGATTCAGAAGTCACTCACTCCCCTCCTTTCCTTGCTTGGGGAAATAAAGACGATTCGTGGTTTACGAGTAGCCAAGATTAGGGTAACTTTTCTAGGGCTGTTAAGAAACTTAATCTTGGTGGGAATGCAGGGAGGCAGGGCAATTAGCCCTGCGTTACTTGAATAAGAAATAGCTCTTTTCCATCTCTATACGCTGAGCATCCAGAGAAGCAAGCAGATGGCTTACAGCCCTTGATATATATTATAAAGAGAGCGATGGGAAATGGATAAATGGAATGTAGAGGTCATTCAGCAACATGAATGAAGCGCGCGAGCTCCTGCTCCAGCTTGAACCTTACCTTCCCCTGCGTCATCTTTTCCTGTTAAGTGACGCTCCACGCTCGGCTCTGGATAATACCCCTTTTCAGACAGGAGGGAATGAGGCGAGCTGCTTCAGCCTCCTCTTTCAGCAGCTTGCTGAGCTAGGATTTGCTTTCCCGTGCCGGGCGACGCTTCTGCCTCTGCCGCAGCCTATGAGGACGCTCCTGCCTTCCAGCAACATCTAAAGCGCATCTCCCTTCTGATGGAGCTGGGGCGATACCATTGCTCAGCTTTTAAATGGGGGGGGGGGAATGATGCTGAGGAGAGCAGGCTCAGCCAAGGAAGAAATAGAGAGAAAAGAAGGTTACTTTTTTTCCTTTTTTTTTATTTTATAAAAAAGCTTTTTTTTCTGGGCCTGATTTTGCAGAATCACAGTGCAAAGATAGAGCCAGGATGCAGGAGAAAGTCGAGGTCCAGCATTTTGCAGTGGGAACAGGAGGGGAGGAGGCGGTGATGCAGGGAGAGATGATGAAATGAGATGCGCTGAGAGGTACCGTTTTCCTGTGCTTGCTAACAGCTGCCTAGGGAGCAATTGGCAGCCCAGCCCTGGGGACTATTAGATTTCTCTGGCACATGAAAAGCTCATCAGAGACCAAGAGAGGTCCCTGTTGCTTCTAGACTACCTTTTGCTTCCATTCAGTATATATCTCCCCCTTTCTCTTCCTCGCTTACAGAACTGGTTCCTTTAGAGTCCTTTTTAAATGTTATGGCCATATTCATCTCCTTTTATTCGTAAAATCACAGGCCCACTGCTTTGTGCCCTAGATGCATCGTTGACTCCTTTCAGGCCACCCACACTGTGACTTGTTGCCAGTCCCATAAAGTACATTCCTTATTTATACAGTTTTAATAGGCCGGCATCTCAGGTAGATTCTGGGTAGTGTGCAAGGGTCAGAAACACAAAACCATGATAAATAACCCCAGGTATCCAAGGATAAGCAACAACCCCACTCATTAAAAAAAAAAGAAAAAAAAATACACCACAGCATAGCTACTCAATAAGAGTAGAGCTCATCTAGCCTCCTGACCCAAACATCTGTGGAAACAGCCAAGTCTTTGATGCCTCTGAATCTCCAGGAAGATGCTGTTCCATAGAACAGGTAGTGTACTGACACTGAGAAGGTGCAACCAAAGAGTGCAACAAGATGACATTGTGTTAGAAGGGATCAAGAGCATGTCTTGTCTTCTAGATCTGGTGGAGCAAGCTAAAAAGACAGGAGAAAGGCAGTACTGCAAAATACCCTGGCCCCCACCATGTAGGTTTTATTGTGCTTGTTCGTTCACTGTGAACTAACACCTTCCAGTGAGAACATCCAACAAGAGAAGGGCCAGCATGCCTCTCCCCTTTCAAGGTCTGGCCCTAACCTTGAGTGTTTGTTAACAAAATTATTGGGATTGCCAAAGAGCCATTAGTAAACAGTCCAACCAAACAATCCCTAAGACAGGTAAGACACTAGAATATAAACTGACAGCAAACAGCACTCCTTACTAGCACTGATGATGTTACCTAGTTAGGGTAAAGAAACATTTGCAAGAAAATAAGCAAGCTCAGAGAGCATCAAGGACCCCTCATTATTGGGATTATTTGAATTCTATATACCAATCTCTTCCAATAGGGCAGGGGTCTTCAAACTTGGCCTTTATGACTTGTGGACTTCAACTCTCAGAATTCCTCAGCCAGCGTGTCTTGTTGCCCAAGTTTTGTCTTGTTGCCCAAGTCCAGAATGGACTTCTGGAAGCGGCATCCACACATATTTGAATCCCACCACTGGGTACCCACTGGGTACCACTGGGTACCCACCAGATGTGATGGATTTCAGTTCTCATAACCCTTGGCCAGCATTGCTATTCTGTCTCAGGCAATACACTATTAGACTATTTCTCCTTCTCCAGCTTTATGTATAAGTGCTTTGTTAACAATACAATCTTTTGTTCTGGCCTCTTCAAGATCTATTTTTTTTCCACCTCACCTTTTTTCAATTTCCCTGGTGCATGTCATCTTGTTTGCAAGGTAGAGAGCTGTATTTTATTTACATTTATACAGAGATCTTATCGGTAGTAGCCACGTATTGAATTTTAATGTCACTCAAACAACAGCAGCACAAACAATATAATAGAACAACATGAGCAAAAAATATGACATAAGAAGAGAATCTAAAGAGTAACATAAAACAGTTTGCAAGCATGCAAATTCTTCACATTCATCAGATAACAAAGCAAACAAATTAATGAGGCAGAGATACAAACCACTGAGGCCAAAGACAATGGAATTTTAGACTCAGTCTTAAGATGGAATTTAGAAAAAAAAAAGTGCCAGATGGTCATATTAGCTTTTGATGGGTAGTGTGGTGATTAACCAATGCATAAGTCTTTGGGGATCAAACAAACAAACAATGGATATTTGCCAATATTTTTTGTCATTTTAACATCTGGCTGTTATTCAGATCTAACTCTAATTGGAGGCACTGCAAAATTGTGGCCCACGTTGCAATTAAATTAAATATGTAGGCCTGTCTGATATTAAGCTGATATCTGTAATCAGCTGGATTGCATAAAGTGGTATCTTCATCCAGACTAGGCTATACTACTGCAATGTGTTCTATATGTGGCTTCCTTTGAAAACTACTCATAAACATCCGATGTTAGCAGCATTGACACTGCAATTGGTGCAGAATACCGTTCTACACTCACCCACTCCTATTGCTGTTAGGTGATAGCCATTACAGCTGTGTGACACCTAAAGCATTGGATTCCCTTAGATTTCTGGGTGTCATTCAAAGTGCTCTGTTGATCTTTAAAGCTCTACATAATTTAATCCTAAGAACTTGCTGGCATGCTTCCTCCAGTCAGAACAAACCCATTCAGCATTCCCATTCCGACGCAAAAGATTGATAGTTCTTCAAGATATTTGGATTTGGAAGTGGGGGTTCTTCTGTGATGGCTTCCCCTTTCTGGAATGGTATTCCCTCTGGAGGTTATCAACCTTGCCATCCTTATGAAAAGCTGTCAAAGCAAAGAAGAAAGGGGATCAAACAGAGGTTACACTGTTTTTTCAAACTCCAACTTTCCCATCAAAGACATGCTTATTGCTTGTTGCCTTTGAACGTCAGTGATGGCTATTTTTTTCTTTTTGGTCTTATCTCTTCCTTCTGGGAAAGCTTTCCTGTGTTGTAAGACTCTTACATAAAATTAAATAGGGCAAGAGCACTTCTTTGTCAGGCTGGGTGAAAAGTTGGTGTGTTTCCTAAAGTGTTTCTTTTAAAACAATAATTTAATACAGGGCTGCGAATGACTGGCCCAAAGTCACCCAACTGGCTTCTGTTCCTAAGGAAGGATTGGAACTTGTAATCTCCCAGCTTCTAGATCGGCAACTTTTTACCAAACTGGTTTTGGTAATTACAAATACAGAAGTCCATTTGTGAATCCTTGTTCCTCTGAAGATCTTTTTCAAGCAGGTGGGGATGGGAAATTTCACCTGTTCCTCCATTTTTATTCCAAAATTTGTGTTGCAAATTAAGCTACTGCTTCAGGGACAGAGAATCAACTGTATGTTCATCGGGGAGTGTTCTGCTGTTCTTATGAGCAATTTGCAGACCATCTGGAGCCTTCTGCATTACAACTTCTACCAAATATACCCCCTGCTGCTTTTGAAGCCTAATCACAAGCCCTGCTACCACTTATCAGCAGGATCAGGCCCCTGCCACAGCGCACTAAACAGCTGCTTGTCTGAAACTGATTCTTAAATGGAGAAAGCATTTCATTTCACAGCCCAGAGTAACCACAGCATTAGCATGAGAATGGGGAAGGTGAGAAGAGTGTCACCTTTTATAATTAGATAGGAGGAAGAATGTGGGTGTTAGTGTGATGAGTGAATGGGTGCATCAATCTGGCAGGAAGGAGACAAGGGGAAATCACTTCTAAAATTTTGACAAGAAAACAGCAGACTTGTCCCATCATCAGGAGTCAAAAACTGACTCAAAGGCACACACACACACAAAAGCTTAACCAGAGGCTGGTTAATACCTCTGAGTAAAAGGATAAAAAAATCCAATGCATAACCACAAGCCAGAATAATCCAAAGCCAAATTTTGAAACCTTGGGCAAGGAAGGGTAAACTAGCAACACATTAAGGACAGAATCCAACCCAATGCATGCTGAAGCCAACATCTCTAACACTTATAACCATCAAATTATTCATTAGATACACTAGTTGTCCATCAGGAGAATACCTTGTCCTTCAGTGCAATTCAGGATGATTTTGTTTAGTTATGCAGGCAAAGTAAGGGTTGCCTCTCCAAAATAGCATAGCATAGCATAGCATAGCATAGCATAGCATAGCATAGCATAGCATAGCATAGCATAGCATAGCATAGCATAGCACCTTGGAGGTCTTCTAGTCCAACCCCCTAGAACCTGTACTATCTCAGACAAGTGACTGTGTCTAGCCTCTTCTTAAAAACCTCTAGTGATGGAGCGCCCACGATTTCTGGGGGCAAGCTTTTCCACTGGTTAATTGTCCTCACTGTCAGGAAGTTTCTTCTTAATTCCAGGTTGCTTCTCTCTTTGACCAGTTTCCAACCATTGTTTCTTGTCCTGCCCTATGGTGCTTTGATGAATAACGTGACCCCCTCTTCTTTGTGGCAGCCCCTCAAGTACTGGAATACTGCTATCATGTCTCCCCTATTTCTTCTTTTCTTTAGACTAGCCAAACCCAAGTCCTGCAGCCGTTCTTCATATGTTTTAGTCTCTAGGCTTTGATATGAAGAGAAGGACGAGGGGGGACATGATAGCAGTGTTCCAATATCTCAGGGGTTGCCATAAAGAAGAGGGAGTCAAGCTATTTTCCAAAGCGCCTGGAGGCAGGACAAGAAGCAATGGGTGGAAACTAATCAAAGAGAGAAGCAATCTAGAACTAAGGAGAAACTTCCTGACAGTGAGAACAATTAA